GGAAGAAGAGCAAGAAGAAAGGAAATAACATAACCAAGCAGATTATACTCTCCGAAAGATTGCCACCAACTCTGGTGGAGAAGAGTGGCGACGCCGACGGAGGCGAGGAAGCTCCGGTGAAGTCAGGGAGTGGGAGTGGGAGTGGGAGTGGGAGTGGGGTGATGGGTCTGATGAAAAGGTTGTCGAGAAGGGTTCTGTCGGTTCTGTCTTATCTGCCTTTGGCTATTGGAGAAATGTTTGCCATTGCTGGTCTTATGGCTCTGGGTATGTTGAGTTTTTGGGTTTTGTTATCTTTGAGTAAGCAGCTTAATGACTTTTGCTTTTGGCTTTTTTCAGTTTGTTGTTTGCTAAATCGGGTTACTTGCTGGTGTGCTTGTTAGTAGTTGCTTTAAATTTGGGTTTTTTTTGAATTTTCAATCCAGGTAGCTTGTTTCCCTGGCTAATAACTGTGGGGTGGAAATAAAATTTGATTTATTTGTTTTGGATAATTTTTTTGTTTTTTCATGAAAAATTAGAGTTTATAGGCAATGCTCTTTTCGGAATGCTCATAATTGTAAGCAATGCCTTGTTTTGTCTTATGAGGTATTGTAAAGAGAGATGTTTTTATCTTCATGTGGAATTTTAAGTAGGCCTTGTGTCAATGCAATACTTCTGCAGGAACTTTCATTGATCAAGGTGAGGCCCCCGATTTCTATTTCGATAAATACCCTGAAAGTAATCCCGTGTTGGGAATTTTCACTTGGAGATGGGTTCTCACCCTTGGGTTTGATCACATGTTCACATCCCCCATTTTCCTTGCACTATTGACTCTCCTTGGTGCGTCACTAATGGCCTGCACTTACACTACACAAATACCCCTTGTCAAGGTTGCAAGAAGGTTTGCTTTCATTTTTCGTTTTACTTTATGATCCCTAACTGGAAATGAGTTGCGCACTGCCCTATTAACCGTGGATTTAATTGGTAATAACAGATGGAACTTCATGCAATCTTCTGAGGCCATCCACACAAGCAGGAATTTTCAGACTCTTTGCCGAGAGCATCAGTTGAAGATTTCGGTGTTGTTCTTATGGGAGCTGGATATGAGGTTATATATTTTTATATTCTTCTTTCTTTGTTTACTCTTTTTAGGAAACTTTTATTTTTTGTTAATTCCTCCCCCTGAATTATTTTTATCTCCTTATATTTATAGCTATGTGTTCAATATGGGTCGCTTCATCCTTTCAGGTATTCTTGAACGGGCCTTCTTTATATGCTTTCAAGGGGCTGGCTGGTCGGTTTGCCCCTATTGGAGTACATCTAGCAATGCTGCTAATAATGGTAGGTGGAACTCTTAGTGCAAGCGGGAGCTTCAAAGGAACAGTTACGGTTCCACAGGGTTTGAATTTTGTTATAGGAGATGTGATGCACCCTATCGGGTTTCTCTCTACTCCAACTGAGGCTTTTAATACAGAGGTTCATGTCAACAAATTCTACATGAACTACTACGACAGTGGTGAGGTGAATGTTTATGTGCTCTATTTTGTTTGCTTTGTGCTACCTTATCTCGCATGTTCTAAATGATAACGTTTATAATGACGTAATCATCTCCCAATTTTGCTTGCTCAGTACTGCTAAATGCATAGGTGGTTTACCTTTTCATCCCCTCATTTGTGTCCCAGGTATCACAATTTTACACTGATCTTTCACTATTGGACCTTGATGGTAAGGAGGTGCTAAGGAAAACAATCAGTGTAAATAACCCTTTAAGGTATGGAGGGATCACGATTTACCAGACAGATTGGAGTATTTCGGCGCTACAAGTTCTCAAGGATAATGAAGGACCCTTTAATTTGGCGATGGCACCTCTTAAGATCAACGGAGACAAGAAGCTTTATGGGTCCTTCTTACCCATTGGAGATGTGAATGCTCCTAATGTTAAGGGAATGTATGTGATTCTCCTACTGCTATATCTTTTCTTGTACCATTTGAATATGGAAGCTAAATTCCCAATTGGTTCTTGTTGGTGTTTCGAACAATTACAGAAGGCTCAATTGGGATGGAGAACCTTTAAAGCTTAGACGTTGCTTTATTTCCCCTGCCCCTTCATCCTTAAAAAAGGAGGGGCAGTGACCACATCTTTATTGACAGATAATTGTTTCCGGTTATTGCTTACCTACATTCTTTTATCTAATTTCAGATCAATGCTTGCTCGTGATCTACAATCGATTGTCCTGTATGATCAAGAAGGAAAATTTGCTGGAATCCGACGACCAAGTTCCAAGCTTCCAATTGAAATTGATGCCAACAAAATTGTTATTGTAGATGCAATTGGGAGTAGCGGTCTTGACTTGAAGGTGATGCCTAAACATTTTCTTCAAAATTGGTGTACAATTTTCTTCAACTGCATCCATTCTGCCTTGAAAGTAAATCGTGTTCTTATCAGACTGACCCAGGAGTGCCGGTTGTATATGCTGGATTTGGTGCTCTAATGCTCACTACTTGCATCAGTTTTCTTTCTCATTCACAGGTAGAATTCAATTGTACGTATTACCAGTCAGTGTTTTGTGTTTATAAACCAGAAATCATGTACCCCAATTTTGATGAAGGTTAAAAATGGTTTATATTTGTCTTCATCAAGTAGGCTTACATGTAATCTGGTGTCATCAATTGGCACTGCCTCTATTATAATCGAACTTTATAGTAGGATCACATAAAGTTTCTAATGCACAAGTATTTGTAGTTTGGGATGGTATCATAGATGGGTGCCTATATCTTACATTGATATTTCTTTCTTTGGTTTTGTTATACGTAATTGTTACGATTGTTGAAACTGTTCCCCCAAATTATTAATCTATGCTTATGTTCTTTGTTTTCTCCTCTGCTCAAATTAAAGATTTGGGCCTTACAAGATGGAACAGCAGTGATCGTAGGAGGAAAAACTAACCGTGCAAAGGCAGAGTTTCCAGAGGAGATGAACCGCTTGCTTGATTGTGTTCCAGAATTAGTTAACTCGCCTCTTTCCAGGCAATCAGATAGCATTGTTGGCTAGTCTTTGAGGCATCTAAGATGGAATAGCTGTTCTTCTGAGCACCGAAGTTAAATCCAGATATCGCTCCAGTTTAAAATGATTGCACAAGACTTTAAACAAAAAGAGAGAGAATTCATTACAAATTTATGAAGCAGAATTCAACACGTTGGCAGAGCAGTTGAATTTGTTTTGATATGTATACGTACCGGCATTATACCATTGACAGTATGGTTTCCAGTGCAAGTGCAAAGTCGAAGCTCTTCAATTGTATGTATTTATTTATATATGTCCAATTTTTTTCTCCAAAAACTATCAAACTTACCATGCACATTGCAACAGTTGAGCCGCGTTCGATTCGTACAAGGGTACCATTCTTTACATTGACTTGGCTTTGCATTCTTTCAGTTTGTTTGTGCAAATGTGTTGATACTTGTTTCTTTTGGTCGGCCAAGATGATTGCAACATTAATTTCCCGGGTTTAACTAGTCATAATCAGTCATATTACTTTTGCCTTTTCACACACGCGCCAGCTGATAGCAGGGCACTGGATTGATAGCTTGGACTTCAAGTAATGCAATCGAGCTTTAGAGAAAGCTCTGTTAATGGTCTTGACTGCATAAAACCTTACCTCACCCCCCCCCCCCTTTGCTGTAGTGATTGCTAATGATCTGTATTCGGCTTCTGTCGAGGATCTAGCCACTGTTGTTGCTTTTTAGCATTCAAGCTTACTTAATTTGATCCAGAAACACACTGGTAGACGTTCTGTAAAATGGCGATCTTGCCCGGTCTACCTCTGAATAGGAGATTATGTTCAAATCACTCCTTTTGAAACTCTGCTTAGATCCTTACATTTCAGCTTTATTGAGAAGATTCAAAACATATTTGGTTTTTTACACTAAAGGGTGAGGGATTTGTGCTAATTCACGCAGAGCCTGAACCCGAAGATGATCTCATTTTTACAGTTAATATCTTTGCACCGAAATTAAAAAGACTAGAACCTGAAGAGTCTCTATTGATGTTGATGCTCCAAATCTTAAAAAGCTCAGTTACGATGGCAACATGTTGGTATTTTACTCGTCAAAGGATGTGAAAACCCTAAGGAACGCCAGAATTAACTTCGCGCGGACCATGCAGGACGAACCTTTGAATTTGCCCATCATGATGTTCCTCTTGTACAGAGGCTTTTTACTGTAATTGTCCACGTTGAGTATCTACCACTTTCAGGTCCTATTTTCGGGGTAAGTATATGCTTCTAACCGGTTTTCTTGGAGGCTCGATCATAGCCTTTTTATGTCCTGGAAATATCGAGTTTTGATAGTCATTCATTCGTCTCTACTTTTATTTCTCGTGAAGGATCCCAACTTGGTACATCAGTACATCAATATCTTGTGCATATGTTCAATAAATCCTTAGCACTCCCATGTATTGGTCGATCCATTTGGCAACACAACGAGGATGACGTAGAACGTGAAAGGATTTCACCAGAGTCTCTGCCTATTTGTTTGTTGTCAAGCCTCAAGACTGTTTGCACGAGTGGATTCCAGCGGCAGCCAGATGAGATGAAAGTGGTGGAGTACCTGTTGAAGCACAGTGAGTTTCTGAATATCACGGTACTTTATACCCCCCAAGTAACTATTTAGATGAAGAGATGTGGAAGGACGTTTTTCTTCCATCCTGGGTTCAAACCACCTCTCTTCCTCCGTAGTTTAAATGAATTTAAAGTAGATTATTTTATCGTCTATTAAAAGTATAAATGAAACAGAGATGGCCTTGCGAGACGGGGTTTATTATTGCTTTATTTTTACTCCAAGGTTCATTTTTGCTTCGTTTTTACTTACAAGGCTTCCCTTTCCAAGGTTGTGAATGGTCCTTTCTTTGGCAAAATGTGAACGTGTTTGGAGCACTTGTGCTTTCGATTGTCTTTCTGTTTTAGGTTTTCTATAGCGGCCGTTTGATAATCATTTCAGTTTTAGTTCCTTGTGAAAACGATATCTAATATGCAAAACTTCGGTTGCATTGAGAATGTTATTGAGGAACTTGTATATGAGTTTACACTTCTAGGGTACAAGGAGCCTTACAAAATAAGATACAGTAAGACCTTCCGCTCGATTAGACAACGATCAAGATGCGTGCATAACCGGGTACGGTGTACCAATGATGATGCCCAACTTGGATTAAGCTAGTTGCAGGACTTCTTCACGCTTGAGGTCGAACACCCTGATAAGAGTGTCTTCAACAACCTGGATGAAACCCAAATGGATTTGATCAATTATTAAGCTAAGAAGCAAAAATTTCGGCAGATAATGTGAATTCAAACAAAAGCGGTTCAGTGGTTCAAATAATATTCACATGGATGAGAGTTACCTTATCGGGAGTAGATGCCCCAGATGTCACTCCAATAGTGACAGGACCTTCCGGCAGCCAGTTTTCTTTCTCGACCAACTCGCCATGCTACCAAAGAAACACGACAGACAGTTATGATACGTACCAAAAAGACAACAAATAACTGTACATGTAATTTTGTTTCTGTCACTATTTTCCGAAAGAACAACAACGTAAATTTGCAAACCATAACAAACTAAATTGCAGTTCTATGGCTTCAGAGACTCACATTGAGCTTATAAGCTATTCTGTTTCCAGGGCCTATTCTCTTCTCACTATCAATCCAATACGAGGGAATTCCACGTTCTTCTGCAATCTCTTGTAGGTGAGAGGTGTTACTTGAGTTCCACCCGCCAATGACTAACAAAAGATCTAGCTTTTCCTCTACGAGCTTGTACATTGCATCTTGTCGCTCCTGTAAAAGGAGTATATACATCACCGTGTACATTCTCAAAATTTTAAATTTTCTTATAATGTATACAAAACTATAAACTAGCTTCACAAGGGTATGCAAGTTGCTGCTGCAGTGGGGCATTAGAATAATAAACACAATCTTATAAAAACATAAAACACAAAGCATGGTTACAAATTGTTCCATGGCACACCAACTACATAGAAATCTAAACCAAACCCAAAAAACCATGAACTAGAGAAAGAACTTGCCTGAGTTGCATCACATATTGTGTTGAAGCTGACAAAGTGGTCATTTATATTTTCCACTCCGTGCTTACGCATCATGGTCTTCTCTACTAATTTTCCTGTTAGATTGCAGATGCAATCAATAATTTACTCAAATAATCTGTTTGCCGCAGATGGACCAACATAACATAACTTCAAGGACTAACCAATCTCTTCAGTTTCCCCCTTAAGCATTGTTGTCTGATTTGCAATCCCAACTTTTACCAGGTCTCTGTCTGGATCAAACCCCGGAGAGAGTGCCTTTTTAAATTTCTGCATTCAAAGCCAATAAAACACTTCAACACTGCCTGATAGTATCACACAACCAAATGAATTGATATAAGCAACTTAAAACAGCACCTCCATAAACGCCTCTTTAGTTGAGCTAGACCCATTAAGTTCCCCGCCAAGAATATAGTCACACACATACGTTGCCTGAAATAAATTTGACATTAATAACTAATTAGCTTGACAAACAGAACAACTGAAGCTAAAGAGTAAAAACTTTTTAACTTCGGCGGCAGTTCTATGAGAAAGTACAAACCATTGTATACCTCATCCATGTTTTTGACTATAACGTACTTCCCGGCAAAAGAAGCAGTGGCCACAGTCTCCTCATGAGAATATTTCCCATGAATGATCGAAGTGTAATCTCCTTTCTTGTGCTTCTCCACAGTATTCCAAACCTTCACACGAAAACACCAACATAACATATCAGAACCAATTTAAATTTTCATCAAAAATATTAAACGGACTAAAAATAAAATTGCCAACCTTGGAAACCCAGGGGCAAGTAGTGTCAACAATTTGAACATCTCTGTTACTCAAGTCGAGCATCTCATCCACTCCGGCTCCGAAAGCAGGCAAAATGACCACATCGCCCTTGTTCACCACCTCAAACTGCTTTTGACCTTCCTCTATCGGAATGTTCTCCACCTTCATCTCCTCCAACCTCTGCTCATTTCATCTCAACACAATCAATTAGATAATTAACTAATATTTTTTTTTTTTAATCACAGACGATATTAATACTCAAAGCTACACTAATGGAGCGTTTTAACCTCGGACAATCCACATCCAGCAACCAGTGGCAAGCCACGATTATCTACTCCTTCCTGGCCTGGAGAGGCTATGGAGAATTTCACTCTGCTCATGGCCACAGTCAAGTAGACTCACCAACTCGGAACATCAGGACCTCCCACATTTTTTTGTTAATACAAACAGCAAACCAAATACAACTGCAAAAATTAATTATGCACCTTATTGACCGTTGGATTGTGGATGATTTCGTTGGTGATCCAAATCTTATCATCGGGAAACTGCTTTCTGGCCTCGTAAGCAATCTGCACGGCTCTCTCAACGCCCCAACAGAATCCGTACGCCTCCGCGAGCTTCACCGTCACGTTTCCCCAGGTGTACTCGAACCCGTTCTCCTTCAACGTCTTGATAATATCGCCTTAAAACATCAAAACTCAACAATTAAACTTAATTAATCGACTAATTAACTGCTTAATTACTGATTCCGAGGTGTAGCTGCCCCGATTACAGCTTTCTCACTTGTGTACTCGCGGTTCATGAGCTCCAGTGTCACCTCTTTGTGGCCGAAGCCTCTGCGGTTGTAGTTCTTGCTTCGAGTGAGGTTCTTGCGGAAGACCTTGGCGTCGAAGTCGGACTCGACGGAGGAGGAAGAGGAGTCGCCGGAGCATCGGACGGTGAAGGGTTTCCGGCAACTGAGAGATACCCTCCTGGCGAGGCTCTCTGAGAGGAAGAGATCGTTACGCGGTGGAATTCGGCCGAAGTGGAGAGTGATCGCCATGGCTGAGAGAAAGGGAGAGAGAGACGGAGAGGCGCGTGGGGAGAGACTGGAGTTGGTTGGCACTTGGCAGTGGCGGTGTTTCTTTTATCTTGTGGGCAACATTGTGCCCGTGCCCCATGAATATTACGTGTTTTTTTATATTTATTATATATATATATATTTTTTTTTTTTGTGGATTGTCGTTTTACGTGAAGAATCGGGACTTAGGGGTCGTCGTTTTGATGCCTGGATGGCAGGGGCGGATGTGTGAAATTACCGAAAAGGTTACGGTAAATGGCTGGTTGAATGAATCATAATAGGGAGATGAACGCGTGGCTTTTGGAATGTTCCAACAAATTTGAAACACAAATAATGGCTCTTACCATATAAACATATTTGGACAACAAAATAATTTTGTGGATTAAGAAATTTTGTCTAAAATTTGGTGGCTCGAAAACAAAAATGGATTTGGACAACAAAATAATTTTGTGGATTAAGAAATTTTGTCTAAAATTTGGTGGCTCGAAAACAAAAATGGAAAAATGTAGAAGTACGTAATTATTTGGAGATTCATGTCATTTAGTGATATGTAGTATTAAGAAATTTCTCAAGTTTTGAACCAATTTGATTTCATTTGATAAAATTAAAGCTACAAATTATAGATCTGTACATTTTGATGCTCCGGCGTTTGGGCACACTTCCGGCGTTTGGGCACACTTCCGGCGTTTGGGCACACTTCCAGCTTTTGGGCACACTTCCGGCGTTTTGAACGGACCCTTGAAGTTATGCACATTATTAGTGACTGGCTATAAGCCTGTTTCTTAATAGCATCAGAGTCAAATATACCGCCAACAAAATTTCATGCTCGACGAGAATGTAATCCTTTCCTGAGGGCATTTTGTGCGTTGGAAATAAAAATGCACCATGACAACTTATTCTCGACAGAGGACTTTTGGACGTCAGATACAGTGCTTTTTTGAGGATATTTAGGGGCCCTAAAAAAAATTGGTCACAAATGACAAGTGTGGAGCTTAAAATAATTCCAAAAATTCTTGAGACGACATGTGAAATTTTATTCAAAGAAGAAAAGATTGCCCTTAATAAATGGGCAGGCTTCTCAGATGCTTCCACATGTAGCTCACACCCCTAGAGGTCTCAACAGTTGAATACGACTGCCCACAGCTCACCTGCCCTTGCCAAGGAATTAAAGATAAGAATTAATTACCCAAATCATATCTTTAATACATTCCCAATTGAAGATTGATTCCAATCAAGTAAGTAATCCTAATTTAAATCAATTAGGGATAATTACTCCATTATCTCAATAACTAATATCCTATTAAATATCTTGGAAATATTTAGAGAATATCTCTCCATTAAACACTATATGGCCGCCCCTAACCCTATAAATATTTCATATTCTACCAAATTTTGAGAGGTTTTGCAACCCTAAAAAGGCCCTAAACACTTTAGTCCCCCCCCCACCCCACCTCGTGGGCGCGTGAGGCTTAGGTCTCTGATCAAAGGTATTGATTGTTTTGCAGGTGCATTTTCGTCAAGACTAAAGACGGCGGAAATTTGCATCGACAAATTGGTGCTTTTATTGAGAGCTGATTCAAAACACTCGAAGAAGCCTCTGGCATTTGTTTCTTGAATTTTCTATTACGTTGAATTTCTCACATGCCATATCAATTAATTTTTCCTAGAAAAGTTTCTTGATCAATCCCTAGAGAAAGGATACAATGGTAGGTGATAGGAGCATAATTAGGCGACTTACTTAGCTTGTTTTCGTGCATTTATATTGTTAATTCCTAGTTGTTTTAGTAGTTTAAGCCATTTTCGTGTGTTTTTAGGTTCATATGGCAAAGGGAGCAAGAAAGTGCATTTTGAGGCTATTTGGAGCATTTTTGGGCATGGATTGGATAGCTTAATCATGGAGCAAAGAGGATGGACGAAATTGAAGCCTTGTATGCTCTTTAGGACATAAAACAAAGGGCCTAGCCCAATCAAACAATCCTTTGAGCCATGCAAAACCCCTAGCCCAATCAAACAATCCATCAAAGCCATGCAAAACCACCATTCACACACATGCACCCAAACACTTCCTTTGCCGTGCATTCCCAATCCCTTTCCAGCATTTCACATGCATTTCCACCTTCCTACTTCATCATTTCACCACATTCTCCCTCTTTAATCCACATGCATTCATCATCATTCACTCTAGTTTCAATTCACATGCAAACACATGCATTTCAAGCACCAAAACCTTGTTGCCGTGCCTTTCCCTTCCACTTTCCAGCCGTTCCATTTCATTATTGCAGCCACCATTCACTCTTTAACTCACATGCATTCATCACCAACCAACCTAGTTGTCACTCACATGCATTCCCTTCAATAAATCAGCCAACACATGCATTTACAACACAAAACACCTTCCTTGCCGTGCACTCCCACATGCATTTCCAGCTTTCCTCCTTGCAATTCCACATGCATTTCCAACCTAGCAACACCCCTTTAATCATTCCTAGCTGCAATTCACATGCTCTCCCATCCATTCTCTCCCTATATAAACCACACACACTTCATTCATTTGTCATTCAATTCCACACCTCCATTCACAACACAAACACACACCATTCCACACCATTTTCCCCTTGTTGCCGTGCATTTCTCTCCATTTTCTGCACCATTTTCTCCTCCATTGCATCCATTTCCATAACTCCCCACTTCATTCCACACTTCCATCCCTCCAAACCTATCCTTAGACCTTGTGCCACAACGAAGAGGAGGAGAAGAGTGCCTAAACGTTCATACAATTCAAGTTTGAGTTGTTGGAATTTTTAGGTGTTGCTTTTCCTCGATTGCAATGTTTAATTTCAATTGTCTTTGTCTTGTACGTATGAGGAACTAAACCCCCCCTTGGCTAGGGGGGGATTCGAAATATATGTTTATGCTTGCAATATGATTTGATTACTTCTAATTACGTTTCATAAGTTGTGAATTCAATTTGTTTAACTGTTTGATTGATAACTTATTTATGTATGTTTATTGAGAGTGCACGCTTAATTTTCATGCATGAATATGACGCTAGAATATAAGTGAGTTTCACCTAATAGTTATGAACTTATATTCACAAGTAGTGGAGGTTGCTTATAAACAATCGCGTTAAATGAATTCTTGGCAAGAGTATCATGCATTCATAGTTACAATTGCCTCGTCAACACTTATAATTTTCATAGAGCATAATGATCTCTCATTGTATCTCTTCTATGCATTCATGTTGAGAACCATTGGAGAATGATTTGAATTGTCGCATGCATCATCCAATTCAATAACATAAGGAAAATTTGAGAGTTAATTAGTGCATCACGGTTAACTTGGGGTGTTGAGCATCATGGTTTATTGAAAAGCAATTGGAAATCGTTTTATATGCAAGTGTAACATGTGTGGAGATGAACCCCTTAGCTAGCCATCCCATCCATTCTATTCCATCAAATTCGTATTTACAATTTGTTTTCTTTGCAATCTATCCATTTTAGTTTAAATTCATCCAAACCTCAATCCCCCCCCCCCATATTTGTTTAGTCTTAGTCTTAATCTATCTTATTCTGAGTTTTGCATTCTTTGAGTCTATTATAGTGTTTTAAACTTGTTTTTACGTTTTTGAGTCAAATCCAAGTGATTAGCAATCCCTCCTAATCCCCGGTCCAGAACGATCCCTACTTACATACTTACTACAATTGATAAAAAGAGGGTTTAATTTGTGTGCGTATAATTCTCGCATCAGTAGGAAATTTAGAAACTATGACGAACTGAACCTCCTACGTTCAATGATTTGGACTAGAGAGTGGAGACGAGGACATAGCCCCACGACGAAGGTCCTCAAGGCTCAAAATGACGGCGGGAGGAGTCCCATCGCTGCAAAGCCGCACCACCACCATCACCACCGTGACCCACCAGGCCACGGCAAGGCCCCAAGGCCATTGTACCACTCCCACTGTCACTGCCCTTGCAGCGCTGCACCCAGCCAAACCTTAGGAAAGAGGCCCAGGTCCATTTCCAAGCTCATGGGCAGGAGGCCCAAAATTTGGCAGCTGCCATAACAGGCCTAGGGTAGGAAACCCAGCCCACTGCAGCAGCAAGCCCAAACCTAAGCCCAAAATGCAGCAGCTGCTGCCAGCCAGACAGCTCAACGGGCCCAAGCCCAAGCCACCCAGCCAGCAGGTCCTGATGTGGTAACCCAACGGCTAAGAAGGCCAAAGGCCATGCAGGCCTAAGGCGAGCAGACGCCAGTCCAACACGCCCCGCGACTCGCTCCGACAACCCAGATTGCGGACCAACCAATTCCAAGGCTACCTCCAGCAATCCAGATTTCGACCACAGGTCTCGCAATCGATTTAGGGTTACTTACACCCTACTTTTCTGCAGGAATGCTCGCTTTGGGCTTAAGCTTTGTACCTGTAGTCCACTATACTTCCATCATACATAGAGATGCCCATTTTCCAGACTCTTCCAATCCAAATAGCGAGCACCACCTACCCCAGCAGTTCACCAATTTGACGAACGCCCTCACGCAGCAGACCACTTTAGCGAAGCAACTCCTCGACCTCATCGAGATGCAGTGCGCCCCAGACGAGGTGTCCTAAAGCAGGAAAAGGGTGGGAAAATGTGACTCATTCTAGCGACGTCTCGGTAAAGAGCCGCTCAACCCATCATGAACCCTACATTCGGGTAGTGTGCACTCTCGTTTGGGCCATCGGGGAAATGTCTTCTCCTGCCTAAATGCACAAAGAAGCATTCATTCCCAACTCGGCTCAAGAGTCAGTGTGCACCCGAGGTTGGGTCCATACTCCGACGAGCACTCAGAACATTCCAGGCGAAGCATCCATATAAGGCTAGGCCCATAAGGAGATCTTTCTACAAGGTAACGGAGTAGGCAGTTGCATGATGTCCAGAAAAGAGCACAAGAGCAGTCCTCGCCAAGCGTGATGACGAGCAGCACAGTTTGAACCCCGTGCACAGCAACAGCGACACAG